TTGTATCTTCCTGGACTTAGTTTGCTGGACTTTGAAAACTCTTTGACCCAACGTCTTGCTATGTAGTTCTCAGGTTGACCTTGAACTCATCATGTTGGCGCACACTGGCCTTGATCTTGTGATCTTCCTGCCTCAACTTCCTGAGTGCTGGATATAGAGGGGTGCCACCATCCCTGAATTTTTTTTTTTTTTTTTTTTTTTTTTTTAACTTTTAAAACCTCTGGTGTTCTTGGCCTTCAAAGACAAATACTTAGATGCCACCATTAGGGAAGTTCCTTTCATATTTATATTCTTATCACTCTGTGGTTGTTTTCTGTGATGACTAATCTTACAGTAGTGCTTTTTTCCTACAACACAGGCAACAAATAAGTCAACAAAAATTACATATTTGCAAACATTTCAACTTGAAATAATCACAACAAACAGCAATAACTATTACTTTCCCCCAATGTCTTTTCTGTTATGCAAATTACTATGACATATTTGCAATTTTACTTTTTTACCAATAGGTGGCATTGACAATTTTAACTTTTAAAGTGTATCTCAGTATGTTCTAATTGGGCCAGAATTTGGCAAAGTATTTTGTTTTTGTTTTGTCTTCACTTTCCTGTTATACATGGAATTATGTGCTGTGGTTGGTTCAAGAGACACATGATTCTTTTTTTCCCCCTTCATGAGCTAAAAGGATTTCTGACTGCTTAGTTTTCGCAGAAAGTGAAACACAGTCTCTTTTAACTTGCTGTCATTCAATTCTTACCTGTGGCTCTTGGAGAAGGAACTTCAGTGTCTGGAAGCCTAGCCATAGCAAGCTCAGCATGCTCTTCACAGAGCGAGGAGTGGCGCACCACACAGCTTGAGGCCCTCCAAATGGGAATACTGCCACAGTCTCTGGCGGTGGCGGCAACCCTGTGGCACATGTGGCACAGCAGGCGCACACAGCCCTCTGTCAGCGTGGGAGCCGCGTCACCCCAGCAACAGAGCATGGGATAATTTGTTTTTCTCTAAACTAAATCCCCAGTATGCAGATTGCATTGCAGTCTTTGTGATAAATAGGCAGGTTTTGGCCTGCAGTTGGGGCACTAGTCTCGGAAAGGCTTGCTGTCCCTATAAGGCCCTTCCTTGGTGGCAGCATGTAAAGGCCTCGGGCCACAGTTAGTCTGTAAGAGGAACAACATGCTTCTGGGCATCTTGCGCGGGAGCTTCCCATCCTGTCTTCTTGGTGGGACCACACACACTGCGAATTAGCCTCTCAGCTAACTACCCGTGTTCACTGCCGTTCACTAGCGCCACTTGGTAAACATGGGCGCGCTGCGTTTCCACGGTAGTGCACCGTGATGCCTGAGAAAATGAATTCTCACCGACTTCAGATTAGGAGGCTCAGTTTCTTGGTTTGCCTATGTTTGTCTAATTGTAACTGACACATTGACCTTTTCTTTAAGAAATTGTGCTCATTTTTCATGTTTTTGTGTTTTATTAAGTAAGTATATGTACCTTTCATATTGTCCAACCCCTTCTTCATGGCCAGAATTTATCAGTGCTGATGTGCTTTTTTTCTTTCTTTCTTTCCCCCCATGCCACCAGATTTATTTTGGAAAAGTATATCCCTGACCATGTAAAATGACAATTTCTGTTTTTATTTTAAATATGGGACTGCCCACATTTTGAAACCATGGAATATCTACACCTCATATCTTGTATTCATTTAGTCCTGAACCCATAGCTTTGTGCATTCTGAACATGTACCAGTGAGCCGCAGTCCCCAGACCCAGTTTCCTGTGTTTTTTAGAATGTAATGATACTTTTTTTTAATTTTTTTTTATTTTTCCACAAATAATACACTGCATATATTCTTCTTAGTGGTTAATTGCTGTACAAGATGCGGACTTGTAATCCTATTTACAAACACCATTAGAACAAATCATTCTATTCATTAACAGAATGTAACTATATATCTATCCCAACCACTTTGAATACACAGATACAAAATGGACATTCATCTGTATACCCCATTTTTTCTAAGTTCCATTATTGAATATTATAGGTGTGTAAACTCAGCAAAATATTCTAAAAGAGTTCAGTAGCCCATAATAGCATTGGGTCTTCTGTTTAACTGGCAATGTCAGAAATTATTGACCTGAGTCCCCCACAGCTCAACTTAACAGCATGGCTTTATTTCTTATAATTTTGTCTTTATACTTTTCTGCTGGATGGTTAAGACCAAGGTAAAGCAGGACCTATGCAATAAGAGTTGTAGATTTTTGGTCTGAGAAGGTCAGTGAAATGCCCTCAGGATTTGTCCTGAGATCTTGTACCTCAGATTGTAGAACCTTTATCAGTGCAGCCATGTGGATGAGTCACAGCCAATGCTTGGCCAATGTGCTCTCTGTGAAAGCCTGAGAGAGTATCTTCTCCCCATGTGACTCTCTTTAGGCCCACTCTATGTCATCGATCACTTTCCTCTTTGGCCCCATAATCTTCTTGATCAGAAAATTTGGGACACTACCGAGGTACATGACGTTACAGTACAAGTTCTCATATGTCCTGAGTCTTAATTGACCTTAGAAGGCTAGGGCCAAAATGTTGGCTTTCCTTGTATCCCTCCTTTTTCTCTAATTTTGGTCTGCAAATGATACTTTTATGTAGGAAGTGTTGTGTGGCTAATTAGCTCTAGACTTGAGATCGCTTACCTCGGCCTCCCCAGGCATGCAGGAGAGGGTTCTGACCAGATGGCCTGTAAGTCCTCTTAGCTGTAGCATTTTGTCATTCTAAAAAGAAGCTCCTAGGTTGTTCTGAATCTCGATATGACTATTGTCTCCAATCAGAGTGAAACATATTTTACATCTTTGGATTTGCTGGCATACAGATGGGGTGAGCAGACCTCCTTCTCTCCACTTGTAGGGTTGCATGGCACACGTCAAGAAGAGATGATCGATCACAGACTGACGGACCGAGAATGGGCGGAAGAATGGAAACATCTTGATCACGTAAGCCGTTGCTTATCATTTAGGTTGAAACAAGTTTCGGAAACCACTGAAGTGAGGTTATATGAAAAAATAAAAGCTGGAAGATGCTTTGCAGGTGTTGTTTGTGGCTGTCCTGGGGTGGAGGGTGGGGTACTGAGTGTGAGCATTTTCAGTGGAACACGGGATTAGATTTTGAATTGATATAACCCTTTTAGGAGATTAATTTAGATCCTGGGCCAGGATAGCCCAGTGGGGCTGCTGCTCTGCTGTGCAGGGTCCCTTGGTTTCCAGGCTAATGCCAAGTACCCTTGGTACTTGGCACACTCACTTCGATGCCCACTCTTTTGCTTCCTATTCCCATCAAATCTGCTTACCTGTTGGGTTTGAATTTCAAATCTAGTTGTAGAAATATTGGATTGAAGCTCTAAGGACTAAATCTTTCACTATCCTGAACGTTTTATTGTCCCGAACATTGTTTAATCTGTGCTGAATTATGTGTCACTTTTTTCCTTCCCCTCACTTGTTTCTCACATAGCTGCTAAACTGCATAATGGACATGGTAGAGAAAACAAGGCGCTCGCTCACTGTCCTCAGGCGATGTCAGGAAGCGGACCGGGAGGAGCTGAATTACTGGATCCGGCGGTACAGTGATGCCGAGGACCTGAAGAAGGGTGGTGGCGGCAGCAGCAGCCACTCCAGGCAGCAGAGCCCCGTGAACCCAGACCCGGTTGCACTAGGTATCTGCTTCAGATGAGCATGTTCTTAGCTTTGTTTGTTTTGTTTATTTGGGGCCCTGGGGATTGAACCCAGAACCTTCACGCTGAACTAGCATCTCTGGGTTTTGTTTTTTTGGGGTTTTTTGTTTGTTTGTTTGTTTGTTTGTTTAAAGACAAGGTCTGCCTAAGTCACAAAGCTGCCTAGGCTTGTCTTCACCTGGCAGTCCTCCTGATTCAGCCTCCCAGAGTGCTAGAGTTACAGGCACGTGCGACAATGCCTGGTTGCATGAGCATGTTAAACATATTTCCTGTGCTGTTGATACTGAATTTCTTTTTAATTGTGTTTTTAAAAAATAAAGAATAGCCGGGGAGATAGCTCAGTAGAATAAACACTTGCCTGGCAAGCACAAGGTCCTGAGTTCTGCAAAAGGTCCTCGGTACTGCAAAAACAAACAAACAAACACCCAGGCAGCACTCTTGGTGCAGAGTGGAGCTAACCTCCTACGTGAGTTTGCAACATCACCCTCATTGGCACCACAGCTGATGATCAGAAATCAAGTATATTTTCTGGCTATTCATTACTTTTTTTTTTTTTTTATTTATCTCTGTATTAAAAGTGTTTGTGGCCAACACATTTGCCTTTGCCCTTAGATTTTTGGACTTCTGCTAATCCGAGCGCTGAATGGCCACTACCATGCCTAGTGGGCATTATTCTAAGACTGATTTTAAAAGACAAAGACCCATTTGTAGTAAGGCAAGCAGTGGGGACAGAATTCAGTTCCATTTGAGCCATAATTGGTCTAAACAAAACTGTTTGGAGCAGAGTACATTAAACATCTTGTTTGCATTTTCTTATTGAGAGCAAAGTTGGTTAATGATGGCAGATTTGCTCAAGAGAAGTGCAGGGCGTTCAGTATAGCCAAGTTTTTTGGTCTTAAGTAAAACTTAAGGAGTGGCAGCTCAGGACTGAGCAGTTTGGCCTGGTCCACGCTACACATCGGTCAAGTCACCGTGTACTGAACACTTAACTGCTGGAGGCAATATAACGAAGGAGAGTCATGCTTCCTTCCTCCCTCCCAGAATGCTTGGAGCAAGTGAGTCAGCGAGATAATGGCTGGGTGCAAGCACAGGGCCGCCACCTCAGTCTCCTCAACCTGGTAGCACCGCACTCATCAGCTGTCCTTTGTGAAAGAAAAACGTCAATCACTGACTGGACTTTGTAGCTAGCTGAGAGGTCCTTCACGTGCAGAACGCAGGCCCCTCTGTTCAGAGTCCCCACTGCCACACACAGATGCGTGATGCTGACGTACACCACATTCTCTAGGAAGACAGTTCAGCTTCTGAGTTTTCTGACAAAGAAAGACACTTGATCTTTAAGAACGCTTCCTTGTGTACACGTCCTAAGCCCCGTTCAGAGCTGCAGGCCTGCAAGCCCAGCTACCCAGAGTCTGAGGCAGAAGGACCTCACGTTCACAGCCAGCCTGGGCAACTTAGTGAAAGACTGTTTCAGATGAAAACCAAAAAGACCTGGGAATGTAGCTCAAAGGCATGGTACTAGATGTTTGTGAGTACTTGCCTAGCATGTGAGAGGCCCTAGCCTCTATCACCAGTACTAGAAAAAACACTTAAAAAGGTAGAGTTGAACTACTTTTAAGATTTCATGAATTTCATTGTAGGTAAAGCTGAGATGTTATTTTGGTTTTAAACTTTTGTAGATCCTACTATCCAGTGACTACAAGTATTTCATTACTTTGTTTAGCCTCCATTAAAACAGTCATATTCTTTATAGACACTGAACCCTAGATTGCCTATTAGGAAACCATCATGTTGGGGAGATAGCTCAGCAGCATAAGTGCCTGCCTGGCAAGTGCAAGGTCCTGAGTTCAGTCTCCGGTACCAAAAAGAAACCATCACCAGTATCAAGAGCTACGTAGTGTACAAACGTTAGCATCCCACATTTTTCCCCATGTCCTTGTTGCTTGGTTGATTGCTCCAGGTTTTTGTGGTACTGGAGATTGAACTCGGGGGTCTTTGCACCTACCTACATCACTACTCTTCGTTTAATTTTTTATTTTGAGACACTCTCATTTAGTTGCCTTGGGAGGCTTCACACTTGCTTCCCTTCTGCCTCGACCTCCCCAGCCATACCTGCTGCTAGATTACTACCGAAGTCTTGCTGTCTGTTTTCTGCAGCTAAACTGTGGCTGGAGAGTTAGTAGTTTATAATCATGAGCCACAATCATTCACAACTGGTCTTTGCTGAATCTCCTTTTCAGGCTTTGGAGTTGAATGTATTGATGTACGTAATGAAAGGATTAGGGATTATTGGCTAATCTATTCTCTGCTTTTGGGAAGTGTTTAATGGGGTGAGTATAGATAAAGGTATGGAGATGTCCACATCTTTATATATGTATAGATCTCCTTATCCAGTGGTTGTGTTGTATGTTTCTTTTAGCTTAGTTTTCTCAATTCTTAAACTGTCTGGTTTCAAGTGAGACACTCAGTGTATATTACAGGAGATACCTGCTTGTGCCCCTGACCTGGAGTCCCTGGAGCCCCTGGAGCTGTCAGCTGCACATCCTTACTGTGTTGAGTTGCTTCTGGGGTCTGCGTGGAAGAGAGCAAAACTCCTACAACCGATGCCTCATATGGGGCTCATCCCATACTCACTTTAAAATTTATTTATAGCATTAAGTTAGCACGAGGCCCTAGAAAAGTAGTGTGATTGATATATTCCTGTTAACTCAGGCCCTTGTGCTTGCCAGGGAAGTGCTTATTCCACTGAGGCATCTCCCTGGCCTTTTCTTTTTTTGTATTCTTAATATTTATTGCCTTTAAATTACTTTCTTTTTTTCTGGTGTTGGACTATTCTGGAATCATTCTCTTAATTCATTGTGTGCCATGTATGTTTTCAAGAAGTCTTCTACATCACAGGAGAGGGCTTTTAAAAAAATGGTCTAAAGTCAGGCACTGAGGTGTTTTTTTTTTTTTGCGGAACCAGGGATTGAACTCAGGCCCTTGCACTTGCCAGGCAAGTGCTTAATCTACTGAGCTATCTCCCCAGCCCAGCACTGAGGTTTAAAACCTTGAATGTGAATGAGTTCATTTCTTGTGTCGTTTGAGTGTATGAACAGTGTGGCACTAGGATAGCAATGGAGAAAGAGCCTTCATGTGCAGTTCGGTGGTTCGCCCTTGCCAGAGAGAAGAGTCATAAAGAAGGATTTTGTGGAATAAAAACTCAAATATTCATACAAAGCTTAACAATTTATGTATTTGTTGAATTGGTGGAGGAATTCCTACTTTAAAATTCGTGAGTTGGCGAAGATTGCCTTAAGACTAAATTGTAGAATTCTCTTTCCTGTCTAAATTTTAGGAGACCTAGTGTAAGGGTTAAAAGCGCCGTGCATGCGCAGACTGAAGAAGCCCTGGTTCCTCTTGGCTTTGGGCAAGCTGCCGTTGGTCTGCGCCTTGGTGGCGTTGCCTGTGATGGGGGTGTCAACATTTCTGCTGTAGGCATCGGTGTATAACGTGAGTTAACAGGTCGCAAGCTTGTCCGATGGTGCCTCACATACCCGAGATGTGACATAAGAACTGCTCTTATTCTTGACATCAATCTCAGCAGAGCTTTAAAGAGTAATAGTAAGTGAAACTAGATTTTTTTTTTTTCTTGGCAGCAGTGATTGTGAAATTATAGAAGACTCTTAATTTTTTTTTAATCTAGAAGATATTTCTAAGCAGTAATTTTATGCTCCTATTTTATTTAATGGATAGAGAGATTAGAGAAGAATTCTATCTTTAGTATAGCAAACCCATTGAGCCTTTAGGGCCCTAATTCAAAATATATGGCTGTAGACAAATATTCCCCCAACCAAAGAAACGTTATTCAGTTTATAAACGCTAGAGTATCAAAACCATACAAAAGTTATTTGAGATACATCTGTGTGGATAAGCTTGCAGTTTGTATACTTGCTTCTTTGATAGTGCCTAAAAAACTCCTGTCATGATCAGTTGGTTGACTTCATAGCACACCTGCCTGCTACATTTTAATAAAGCTTCTTTATTTAGCTCTATTAGGTTTAGAGAGATGACTACTTACCTATGTCCATCTTTTAAAAATAAGGAGATGTCCCTGGAATACTAGGTGTGCTTACTGTTAAGCGTGGACATCTCAGCAATTGCTCCCTCTAGGTTGAGTTTGAACTTCTGAAATATTGTGTTGAGATTTCTGAATCTGTATTTCTTTAAAAAACAAACAAACCCCACGCACATTTGTAAAGACAGAAGTTATTTAACTTTCTTTTGATGTTTTTGGTCATAGATACTGTGACGATCACAGTCTCATTCTCCCACTGCGGGACGAAGGCCACGCCTAGCTGCTGCTGAGCTTTGAATAGTGCCACCCGGGGGCCTGGGGCGTGCGCTCCCCAGGGGTCCTGGCTCACCCCTTCTTGTGCATTGACAGCAGCCTTGCTGCATCTAGCGTCCGGCGGTCTCCATCATGCTGCAAGCGTAGTGTGTTTTCTGTCCCTTTCATGTGCCGTGCGTCGTTCTTTCCAACGTCCTGCATTTCCTTTCACTCTAGCAGCTTTCCTTCATGGATGCCTGTTATCCTCAGGAGGCTCCTTCCTTCTCTTGCCTCCGCCTTGAAAAATGTGCATCTCAAAGGAAGCTGTACGAGAAGGACCCTGTAATTTCTCTGTCTCTTAGTGGTTTCCAATATGTATAGGTCTCACATTTGAAGCCATCTCAGGTGTACTCACCTGTGTTTGTTTCCACCACTGCATTTAGAATAATTATCGAGGTTTCGAGCAGCTGGTATTTTATAGATGGTTAAGAGTTGATAGTTAAGAATTAACCTTTTTTAAATTTTTAATGTATTTGGTACAGGTTCTCACTACACAGCTCAGACTTGTGGTGATCATCCTGTTTTCAACCTCCCCAGGGCTGGAGTTACAGGTGTGCACCACCACGCCCAGACTCAGTGACCTGCTCAGCACACCTGGAGGTGGGGCCAGTGTGGCAGGTGGTGCCAGACGTAGAAACCTGGTCCCTTTGCTTGCTTAAGCAGGCGCTTAGTCCCCTGAGCTATCTCACTGGCCCTCGGAAATAACCTCTTTAGGATTCAGGCCTTAGAACCTTCAGGGTTCTCTAGATGAACAATTACTGTCAAAGATCAAAGTCCTACTAGAGTTATGTTGTGTTCTTATTTTTGATCAACTATAGAACTTTTGTCTTTTAAACTCAGAATTTGTATCCTGATACTGCTAGTGCTTAATCCAAAGAAATATTCAAAATTTTGTTTGCTTTCTGTAGATATTAAAACAGCTTTGGTATTCATCAAGGAACTGAATAGATTCAGAGCAGCACCCCTAGCACTGATTTATTCTGTTCTTCTCATGGCTAGATCTGGTGTTCAGGGTCTGATACAGTCACTGAGAAATGGAGATAAGTGCAGGTGGCTCTGGGGTACAGTGAGAGAAGAAGGGGAGGGGGGACAGGAAGTGAAAACAATTGAGATGCGTATGTATGTGCACCAGTTCCCCAAGATGAGTGTAATCATTACATATCCCCAACATATACTAATATTTTTTTAAATCAGACCTTCTGGGGGAAAAAATAAAAGCAAATGGGTATGATGGTTTTTTTTTGGCTATTTTGAAAAAAGATCTTGTAGAAGTAGATTAAGGTTAAGAAAATTGTTTCACATTTTGACTTTGGCGTTTCTTCTGGGTTACTGCGTTGGGTGGACTGTGGAACAGCATGGATATGGCACTGCGTCATTGACAGCTGGAGGGAGACGTAGCCTGTGTGGTGGAGGGACCCTCAAGACACACATGGAAGGCAGCAGCTTGCCTGAGCCCTGAATTTTGGTATTTAGTACATATACGGACTCTAGCATTAGAGAGTAAACTTGACACTCTTCCTTCTGGGGACAAAAACTGAATTTGTAACTGCAAAATTAATTTTAGTCCTCAGGTGGCATATGCTCTGGCACGTAAACAGTGACTTGGTGTATTACTTAATCCAAATGTCCCCAGTGGTTTTATTTTCTTTGAAGTTTGAGCCATTTGATAAAGTTAGAATGAAGAAAGTTTACAGGGCTTTCTTACTGTTACTTGTAAGGAAGTGAGCTTATTTTCATTCTTACTGTACATCTTGCTGTGTGATAACCATGACAGTAATGAAGAGGGTGGACGGCAGGTGACATCTGAGAGTTTAAGACACACCACACCACACAGGTAGCAGGACTACCCTGCTTCTCAGGACTGCACTTCCAAGTTGCAGCAGTGCTGTTCCTCGGACTAGTACTTAGTAGCTTTTGTACACGAGTCTTGGAAATGTGAAACCACATTTTAGTTTGTTATAATAACACTTGACTATTTACCAAATGACAGTTTTAAAAAGTAAAAACTGATACTTCTTTAATCTGCTAAATGAAAAAAAAAATTAGAGGGTACTTTGGAGGTATTTTTTGTCTTTTGACTATATGGGTCTATTCTTACCTACAGTTATATGTCAAAGTATTTTGTACTTTTTTTTTTTTTTTTTCTGGCATCCGGGGTTGAACTCAGGACTTTTTGTGCTTACCAGGCAAGCACTTGCTCTACTAAGCTGTCTCCCTAGTGCATTGTGTTGTACAGATCTTTTTTTTTTTTTTTTTTTTGTATTTTAGTGAAGGGTCTACAGAAGTTCAGGGTCTCACTACTAGATCCGACTCGTAGTGCTCCGCCTATTTACAGCTTCCCAAGAGCTGGGATTACAGGCTCATGCCACCATGCCCAGTCTCAATTGTTGTCTCAGTGTGTCCCAGGGGCAGGGCTGGCATGGTAGACCCTGGGGATTGAGCCCCTAATCCCTGCCCCTGCTTGCAGGCGCTTTAATCTTCTGAGCTATTTGGCCAGCCCAGTATTTTGTCTTTAACAGTTGTCCTAAGTCTCTATTTCACTGACACAAGGCTAAACATGAACTTGATTATGCCTTATGGCCTGCCCTCTCCCCTCCCTTCATCCCTCCCTCCCTGTTTTCCTTCTTTTGAGACAGGGTATCACTGTGTAGTTCAGGTTAGCCTTCTGTGTAGCCCTCGAACTCACAGTGATCCTCCTGCCTCAGGCTCCTAAGTCTTAGAATTTGTACTTTGTTTCTTTGAAATTTTTACAGCGGCGTAGAGGATGATCTTGGATGTCCAGTTAGCCATGCCATTTTCCATTTGAGTCCTATGGACACTCCACAGTTTTAACTAGCTCTGCTTATTTTAAGAATGAAGATTTCAGCCAGGCGTGGTATATGCACCTGTAACTCCAGCACATGGGAAGCAGATGCAGGAGGATTGGCATGAGCTCAAGGCCAGACTGGGCTACATAGTGAGTTCAAGACCAGCCTAAGCTACATGGCAAGACCCTGTCACAAAACAAACATGATGACAATTTCTTTAATTAAAAAGTTTTGGTTTTGTCATTTGCTTTATGGAAGTTGATGTGCCTAAGACGATTTGTCTCTATTTCTATCCATCTAACTACCAAGTCATGTTATTATAGTATAAACTTTCAAGGAAAAGCGTTTTGTGTTTGCTTGGTTATATACTTGAAGACGCCTTGCAGCTGGTGTGGTGGCACAGGCCTATAACCCAGCACTCTGGAGGCTAAGGCAGGAGAACTGCTGTGAGTTTGCGGCCAGCCTGGCTTACACAGTGAGCTCAAAAGCAGCCTGAAGTACATAGTAACCGACACTGGATCAACAAACAAACAAGCAGAGAGAAAGATGTTGCAAAGATACTGTAGAAAATTTCTGTACCTCTACCAAATTGTACAGAGCTTTTGACAGTTCAGTATTCAAAGCATTCATATCTGTTCAAAGCAGTCAAATATAAGTACATACAGTTAGCTA